TTATTCTTTCTTGTTAAAGCCTGCAGTTCAAGTAAAGTCAAAACTAATTTGAGTTGGAACATATTTGCTTTACTTCCCAATTGCTCAAGCATAGAATATTAGATATGATCAAATAATGTAGAATTCAGTCATGAAATATCTCAACTGGAAAGAGAATCTTAGTTGTCTGCCTATCTGGGGCCCTGCAAGATTATGTGACTTGCTTTAGGTTACACAGCTAATGAGTAGCAGAGCCATAACTGGAAACCAGGCTTAACTGGAAATCAGGCTGGAAACCAGGCTTAACTGGAAATCAGGCTTTCTGCTTCCACTGCAACACTGCCTTCGACTTGCCTACGTTCTGGTGAAGGCATTTCTGGATTGGAATCTAGAGGGAATCTAGAGAAGCTCCAGGTCTGTTAGATATACAAAACTTCAGTCATCTCCCTGCTTTAAGCATCTGCCTCTGAGTTTCCTTTCTCCGGCACATACCATCTTCCTATCTTTTCAAATTTCTCATTTCATAAGTCTCTATGAATTCAATTGTTTCCAGATTTTTAGATATTCTAGACCAGTCAAATTGCCCCCATAATTCTGGCATCCCAAAATAGAGATGTTAAATTTTGTTTTGTTAATAGAGACTTTAGGAAACTACCATCTAGATTCACTATAATTTCATTAAAGAAAAGATATTTTTAACACCAAAAATGTAGAAAGTGTACACTTGAAAGAATGAATTTTATTATATATAAATTATACCCCAATAAACCTGATTTTTTCAATGTAGGTATACTAAACTTTAAATTAAAACACTTAGCAATTGAATATATCTAGCTTTGGTCCCCCGGCTCCTGCACTATTTTACCACAGATGAAGGAAAACATCATAGACTAGAAGAGTTTGGGGAAACTATTGCTTCAGACTTTTTCTGGATAATGTCTTTTACATTCCTCCTGTCTATCATCACTACCTTTATCCACCCAGGCCCTCATCACTTCTTTTCTGGGCTACTGCAGTGTCTTCCTGCCTGTCCTGTTTATGCTCATGTCTGTCTCTCTGTCTCTGTTTCTCTGTCTCTCTGTCTCTTTGTCTCTCTTTCTCTCTGTCTCTCTGTCTCTCTGTCTCTCTGTCTCTCTGTCTCTCTCTCTCAGGTCCCTCCTTTAGTGTGCTATTAGAAAAAGCTTCCTAAAGTACAGTTCTGGTGACATTATTCTGCTATGAGGAATAAAGCCTTGACTCCTTACGTCATAATCTGACCCACTCTTATCTCTGCCTTCACCATTTTACACCCATGGACTCAGCACTCGAGTTATTTCTAACTGCCTCCTCTTTCCTCAGTGTATATTCATTCATACTATTTCCCATACCTTAAACAAATTTCCCCCAACTTCACCTTTTAAAATATTACACATTTTTCAAAGAATACTCAAATACCACTTCATCTATGACCCTTGATAATTCACCTCTTGTGCCCTCTACATAGATCTTTCTCTCCGACTAGTACTTAACATATATTGTCTTATTATGGTGAGTCTGTCACCTTAGAATAGAGGTTTGGCTACTATCAATTTCTATATTATGTACACACACACACACACACACACATATATACATATATATACACACACACATATATGTGTATATATATAAAATTATTGAATAGATAATTTGCTTCATCTTCTTCACAGAAATGATTATATGCTACATCCCTTGGAAAACAGAAGCCATAAACTAACTACCCCAACTTCCTGCCAGTGCATCTACAAAGTCACCTGTATCTGATGTGTCATGTGCTCTCCCACCCTCTCTCTCTTCCCCCAAACTAATCTTTTTTCTAGCTCGAGATCCCATCCTCTCCTCCATGACAAGAGCCTAGCTTCATCAATTACCTCCCCTTTCTTCTAAATTTTAAACACTTCCTCTCTGATTCCTCTTCACAGTAGTTCAAAGAAGACAAGTTAGAATATTTACATAAACTATTCTCAAGCTAGAACTGTCGTGCTGATAGATCTTTAAAACTAGAGACTATGAAGATTATACCCATGCTTAGGAAAGTAAGGGGGGAAAAATCAGAAACACCCATTAGCCAGACAAGAGAGAATTATACGCATCTATCAATGAGACAAAGAAGTCTGAAAGTTGATGCCAGGGTAACCATCCTCTTCCTCTCAGCCCTTTTTTCCCTTGAGATATTCCTGACCTATGAATATTTGTTAATTCCACCTAGTACTTGATCAAGGCAACAGCATACATATGAGGGGGCCCGATAAACTATTTACAGGGGTAGCCACTTGGACCTCTCCTCATCGGCATTCATTTTCGAGACGTCTATGGTCTTCTTTTCGTTCCTCAAGCATGTCAACATCTCTTCGGACTTTCAACTTTTATATCCTCTGCCTGAGGCACTCTTCCTTTCTTCTCCCTCCCATCTGCCCTGTCTTTGGCATTGCTGGCTCCTTATCCTTTGACTCTCAACTCAAACATCACCTTTCCTGACCAGTCACTTACTATCACAATGTCCTTCATAGAATTTCTCATGGCTTATACTTTTTGTTTGTTTCTTTTAATTGTTCTCGCCACTGAACTATAAAATCCATGAGAACATGGATTACATCTGTCTTGTTTACCCTTATTTTCTCAGCATCTAGCATATGAAAAAGTGTGGAATTAATGGAACATATGAAAAACTAGCTCAGCACTGCAGTGGATCTAGGGTAAGAAGCTTAGCAGAACTGCCTAAGGATCTTATTTAAACGATCCAATTCTAAACCCCCTTCCATAACTACACTCCCCTTTATATCAAAGAAAAAACAAAACTGAACAATAGTTAAAGGAATAAAAACAGATTTTATTCAGGACAATCGCAAAAAGGGAAAAGAGACCTCAATATAGAATGGGACTCAATTCCAAATACAGAATATGCAAGTGAAAATTTATAACCAAAGAGCAGAATGGGGGTGGGGGTGGGGTCAATGGAAGAAAAATCAGTAAAAGGAAACATCAAAGGTAAGGGAGGATTCTGGCTAAGCTGACCTAACAGGATCTTTGCTGAAGACAAGCCAGAGTGATCAGATGTCACGTGAAGGATGGTAGAGGATGAGGAACCTGATCAGATATGTAGGGTGGTAGGTTCTTGATAAACTGACTTAGCTGGGTTCTTACTAAAACTGAAATTTAGTAAATGCACAGGTGGGCCTAGGAGAAGTTTCAAGAGACTGACTAAAGTTTGGTCAAACAAAAAAATCTTGGTCAATACCCAGACTCAGATGTACCATTATTAGGACTGGGAAAGGGTATAGGTTCACAGGAATACCACGTGTCCCTCACAGCCTTCTAGATTCTGGCATAAAGTAAGATGTGTAATATAGTAATTACCGTGGGAAGGGGAGTAGCTATGTATAAATGAGTGAAGTCATCCAGTAATTTTCATGTATCACCTCCGGGCCCCTGTGAGAACCACTGCTCTAGGTACATCATTTCTAGCCTTATAGTATTTCTCAGATCTTTAGATATAGCTGCTTGTCAACTCTCAGACTCCTGATCTTTCTACCAATCTCAGAAGGTCTCTGGGACTCATATATGGGTGAGCACTTTTCTCATCAAAATTTTCTTAATCTTTAACATTCTTGTCCTGATCTTACTTATTTAGGACTGACATGAAGGGAAACAGTTAAGAGACTCAAGGAGAAGGTTAGGATTTTAACTGAAATGCTTTCTGGAAAAGTAGCAGACTATAAAACAATTAGATAACTCTTTGCAGTTTTTAAAGATTAACACATTTTAATCACAACTAAGTCTGTCATAAAGGATTTCAAATGGAAATGTGACCCTCCAAAACTACAATGATACCCCAGTGAGTTAAATTCTATTAAATAAAGAAGAGTTTTCTAGGAAATTTAGGAGTCCAAACAGTCTGTCCAAATGCCCAGAGTGACATTGGAGGTAAAAGACAAATAAATCTTTGGAGTCAGAGAGATTACAGCTACAATCATGACTGAGAATCGTTTGACTCAAGCAAGTTCCAGCATCTCTCTTGGCCTCTGTTTCCTCTTTTGAAAAATGGCAATAGTATCCATTTTTCAAGATTATTAAGGGAATTAGTCATGCTAATAGTAACAATAAGAACACTCAAATAGCAATTGTGTATGAGAATATTTTCTTTCAGCATCCTCTATCTCCCAATGAATCATTGGAAGGACTTTCTTTTAAATTCTATTACACAGGTGCCTCTTCAGTTTGCATTAGGAAGCTGTAAGCATCTGTTTCTTCACATGATGCTGCTTCTTAAATGTTACTTAGTCTGGTTCCAACCCTCAGAAATGTGACCTCAGGTAAGTACTCAGAAATATTTAAAGGTTACCTTACATTTAAGATTTTTTGTATTTCTTGAGTTGAATTTGCCCCCATCAATTTTAAATTATTCCCCTCAAAACTTTACTAAAATGACTATTTTTCCTTTGAACATAATTTTTCCAAGATTTTGTATTTACTAGAGAGAATGATTGGGTCTCACACTCCTAGAGCACCTGATATAGGTATTTCCCTTCATTTGGACAAACAATAACCCTGAAAGAGTCCACATTTTATCAATGTGTATTTTCCAATAATAGAGTTGCCAAAAGTCCCAATTTTTCAAATTGCTTTTAACGTGGCTAAAGCACAAAACAATTTATCTTTTATTGGTCTCACTGTTAAAATTAAGGGATCTAGCTAAAGTTTTTAATAAAAAAAAATCATATCAGCTCAACTCTAACCATCTCCATCTCATCTCTCAAACACAGACACAGACAGACAGACACACACACACACACGGTACCACCTGCAATAGGAAAAAAAAAAAAAAGAATGCACAAAAGCTAGTGTGGCAAACTCCTAATTAATGACCAAACTCTTTTGGTGTCAAGGTGCTGCTCTCCCAAGAGACTGCTATTTTAAAAATATTTCTCTTTGAAAACAACCACATGATTAACCCCACCATTCCTATTTAAATTACTTTATATAGAAACAACAATGCACTCTGAGCAATTATTAAAAACACTTTATTATGTATAATTTGTACATGCTTCGATTTGTGATGCTGGGAGTGATTTATTTTCCAGTTTGTGATGTCATCTACTAACATTACCTAGATCTAATTTTCATCCTGCATGCCACATATGAAAATACAATTTTCAAAGCAAAGTTCCCCTACTTTACACAAAGATGCACAAGAGTCTGTCAGACAAATAAAATAAGAATACTTTGTACACATATCAACACCACACAAGGCATTATCCTTCACAAAGTAACATCTAATGTATTTTTTTATTTGAAAACAGCAGGAAAACAGCCTCATCGCCCTTAGAGGGAAATGCAAACTTTGTCGCTAAAGCCCAGCTCCAGGGATAAATAAATGTATGGTCCTCTCTGGGAAGTGGAGGAAATGGGGACTGTTGGAGGAGGGTGGCACCTCATAAGCACTTCAGGAGGAAGGAATTACAAGAGGTTCCTCGGGGACAGTCGCACAGCTTCCCGATCCTCGCTCCTTTTCGCACTGCGCACTGCTCACCAGCGTCACACTGCAAACAACACAATGTGTGGTCATAGGCAAGTACAAGCCCAGGCTCCCAGCAGGCACATCTCCCCATCGACACAATTTCTGCCTCGTGGGAGAGCTGGGTGGACCTTTTCGCCATCACCATGCATAGTCAAGACTGAAATGCAGAGAGCCTTGTGCTTATAATTCCAGTGAGAGAACATAAAAAATCTTTTCATTAATGAGCCCCTCCCAATTTTTTCAGCTGTGGAGAGTGTGTTACATTTCCTGGCTCTTTTCATTGCTCATCCAAAAGAAAAAATTAACCATACCGTTTTTGCTAAAAAATAAACAATAGACCTGCATTTACTCACAATTCCTGCTCCCTGCTTTCTGCCTCCTCATCTCAAGAAGGAAGATTGAAGTGTGTGTGTGTGTGTGTGTGTGTGTGTGTGTGTGTGTGAGTGTGTGTGTGTGTTCTCCAAGGAAAGTGACAGGCCCTGGTCAAGAATTTTGGCCCTAGAACTTAGATTTAAAAACAACAACAACAACAACAACAAAAAACTGTGCTTCAGAAGTCAGGAGGAAAATTGGAGGAACAAGAACTGAGTAAATTTAAGGATTCTTCCCACTCAGGGACTTCATTGTGAAGCGGGGAAAAGCTCATCTTGAGGAAATGATCCTTTCCACACGGACCCAAGATCTGGTTCTGGGCACATGTTCTTTGATCCTCTTAAACGGACCGTCTGTGCTCTGCCCTTAGAGAATAAGGGGCCAGGGCTGGCAGTGGAAACAAAGGGGATCTCACAGAATTCTGCGAACCTATTACCTGAATTGTTTAGCCACATCCCAGAAAGGAGGCGTGTGTAAGACTCAAGGTGGTACATTTCCTCTTGGGAAAACATGGGGAGGGGGTGACCCCAAAGCCTTACCATGGGAACTTGCCCGTACTTCTTCTCATAGATGGGAATACGTTTGCTCTTGAGCTTCTTCAGGACTTCCTGCAGCGCTTCAATCTGCAACACACGGCCCCCGGAGCCCGAAGTTGCCGCCTTGGCTGCGAGCCCAGCCCCGGTACTCACTTCCAGCCCTAGTTATAAGGAGCCCCAGAACCACGCGCACTCCGCCCTGGGACTCCGCAGACAAAAATGATGCTCGGGGGGTGGGGGGAGCAGAGAGTGGAAACTTAGCGAGCGCAGTCCCAGATACTGACCACGGGTCCCAGAGCCGCTGAGGCTCGTGTCGCTCGGAGGAGCCGGGACAAGAGATTCTACTAATTTCCGGGAGTCTTTGGGGCTCGAGAAGGTCTTTGGATGACGACGGGAGCCCGGACTTTGCGTTCATCTCCCCGCGCCCTGACTCTGGGAATGGGGGTGCGGAGGAGGGAAGAGAGGAGAGACGCGTACAAAGGAAGGGACCGCGCGGCAGCCCAGGGGAATCTGGGGCGTAGGGGATACCAACCAGCTCCTTCTCATGGGAGGCATCCTCCACGGCGGAGTAGATGTCCAGGGCTCGGGGCTGTAGCTCGGCGTCCTCCTGGGCACGCGCGCCCAGCAGAGGTAGCAGCAACAGCAGAGAGGCACCCAGGAGGGGCAGCAGACGAAAGCGGGGGCTCTCCATGGTGCTGAAACTCGTCGCTGCTGGGGCACCCCGCGCTCTCGCCTTTTATACCGAGCCAGAGCCCGGGTGCAGGGAAGAGGGAGGGGGGCAAGGAAGGAAGGGGCTGTGGAGGAGGGTTCAGGTCAACCGTCTGTAGGCAGCGATGCGCCGCCGCTTGACGTCAATGCCCGCCGGGCTCCGGGAGCCCGGGAACGAGGCTCTGCACACAAATGGGCAAGAGCACGGAGACCCGCACCCTGCGCCCCCAGATGCTATCAGCCCCGCGGCAAGGGATGCTCTCCGAGGGGCCTGAGCTGAAGTCAAGGGGTGAGAGGTGAGGGATGGGGAGCGGGAAGGAGCTAGGAAATGGAAAATGCCTTCGAGGCAAGGCACAAGCAGAAGAGTCCCTTCCCATTTCCAGCAGCAGCAGCAACCCAGTCCACCTCACCAGTCCTGCCTTGAATCTTGTCCCAGGCCCGTGTGTGGCAGCAGGAAGAGGGTGTTGCCTCCAGGCAGGCCTGTCCACTGAGCACCTTACTAGGCACTCTGTGGGACTGGAGAAGCAAACAAGTACGTAAAAGAAAGCAAATGTAGCCTTCCCCATGATGGGTTCTTCAAGGGAATCTGTGTGGTAATAATGAGAAAAGAAAGTAGACTAACTCTGATTCAGGGGTGCTGTGGAGAGAGCTGGACTCTGGTTCCAGTCCTGGTTCCAACATTTAGAAGCTATGAGCTTTGGGCAAAATAAATTTCTTTGAGCCTTGCCTTTTTCTTTTGTAAAACTGGAATTTAAAAGTTGTCCCTCATGAAGTTATCGGGAGGACAGAATGGAAGAAAATGTATTTTAAACCCCTGGCCCTTAGCACCACAAGCACTAAGCCTCTCTACTTCTCCCCTTGAACTTTGTGGCTGCCCAGATAAGTGGCTATGGGCAGTATCTCAGCTTTTCCTTAGAACAAACTCAACCATCCTCATAAGCCCTCCAACCTGCCACTCATCTCTGATATCCAAGGAAGATAATAAAGTAAAGGAGGTGGGCAAAATGCAACTTCCTGATTATGGAAATATCTCCAGAGATCAGACACCAGTGGTGAGCCAGGTCCTCAGTGACTTGTGAAGACACGGTTTTTTAAAAGGTTGGGATCCTTAATAGCCTGAATGCAAATGGAAGTTCCTGCAGGAAAGGTGATATTTTCCCACTTGGACCTAGAGGCTTATCCCACCTGCCTGCCCAGCTGGCTTCTTTCACCACACCCTCTTCCTCTCAAACTGCTCCTGAATCCACCCACTCTTCTCCATGCCCATTACTACCACCCCAGTCCTGGACAGGTGCCCCAACCCATTGCTTGCCTACTCCCAACCTCTGCTCCATCTTCTCTTGCCTTCCTCTAACCCATAATTCACCATCAGCCAGAGTATGTTTCTCCTTAAAACACACTAATGGCTTTGCATCTTACTAAGTACTGAATTCCCTATCCTGACTTACAAAGTACTACATGATTTGCATCCCTCTCTGATCTCATATTCTACCACTCTGCCCCAGGTCCCTCCACTCCATCCTCACTGGCCTTCATTTTGGTCCTCTAACAAGTCAAGCCCATTCCCATTTTGAGGCCTTTGCACTTACGTGGAAAGATCATCCTGCATCTCAAAATGACTGGCTGACTCTTGTCATTTAAATCTCAATTTAAATGTCCTTGCCACCCAATCCAAAGTATCAACCAATTTATTCTCCCACAGATTTATTGCTTAGTAGATGGTGTGGGTCATTGAGATAGTTAATACATGACATGTGCCTGGACATTTCATTTATCAAGTATTTAATCGTTACTCAAATACACACTGAGAGGCAATTCAAGAAGTAATGTCTCTTCTGATGAATAGCACACATATCAACAGCATCAAAATATTTTCCCTTGGGGTAAATCCAACTGAAAATTTATCTAACACCTCCTCCAGCTCTGCCTTTCACACAAACCTTTTGATTCTACACAACAAAACTTCAGTGGCAGCATATTTTACTGTTTACACCTTAGTGAGACATATTGGCACTCGTTGCCAAAACCACTTTCAGTGATCTTTAAAACATTCTAAGCTTCAGAAGAAAAATAGCCCCAAATAAGATGTTAGCCCACTCTTCTTCAAAGATTGGGTTCCCAATGCAATACTTTCTCTCAAATTGTGTTCTACCCTGAAACAAGTAATAGCGTTCCTTTTGTACCATTTTATTGGGAAAATAACTTAAAAGTTCAAGTCCTGCTGATATTTTGTTGGTGCTATTATCTTCATGTAAGCGAGACACCTCATTCAGTTGAGAAATTGTTAAAGGGACCCTTGGACAATTCTGTATAGCAAGCTGGGGGTATCTTGGTCATTTTCAAGTCACAATACTTTTTTCATCTTTGAAAAGAATGATTTGATAAACTGTCTTTGAGAAGCTTGGTAGAGTAAGACTTAGGCCATTTTCTTCCCAAAGACAACTTATTTAAGTTATAACAAGGGAGGGTTCAAAAGCGTGAAATGTTCTATAGTCTTTACATCATACCCCGTCAGGAGAATTTATATATTCTTGCTGCTTTATAATGACTCCATTAGAAAGAAAAGCCCACCATTATGTCCCCAAGCAAGTGAAGCAAAGTCATAATTGGATTTAATCACTACTTCTCATCTCAAATATAGAAAAGGGAGGCAGTTCTCCTCGCAAAGGGAAGCCTTAACCAGGATGCATCGACAGAGATTCACTGTGGACAACCCTCTCTAACCTTTCCTCTTAAGATAGAGGAGGACTATGGTTCTGCTCTTTGGAATAGCTCAAGGAGAGAAATCTCACAGTAGAGAGCTGAGAAACTAGTGCCAGTAAAATCTACTTGTAACATACTACTATCTGAGAAGAAAATTTAAAAGGTTGGGAAAACTTCTTATTAATGTCTATCTCTTGAAGTTCTGAACTTTTCACTATAAAAATAACCCAGTAATTTATTTGTGACTTGGCAAGAAAACAGAGTCTATCCAGGTTTTGGTCTAAAATCCTTTAAAATATAGGGGCTGGTCAATATTGACCAATGATGTGATAATTCTAAATGATAATTCTAAAGCCCTAGATGTTGAATACTGGAAGACCATAGAGAATCAGACACTAAAATTATGTTTCTCTCAAGCTCCAGTACTGTTTTTCCTCCCTCTCCTTTAAACTTTGAATAATTTACTTTTCTATACGGCCCAGAATGGTATTGGCCTTTTGGGTTATCATATTGCTCAAATGTTAGACTACTTTGTTATCCATTAGTCCCCTCCCCTTCCCTCCCCCCAACCAAATCTTGTTCAATAGCAAAACTTTCTCAGTTTCACTAACTTCTTAAATATTTGTATTTAAGATTGTTTCTCTTGTGTTCACTGTGCTTTCCTCCAAATTAAACATCATTCAGTTCTCTTATGTAAACATTCCTAATCGCTGAAGTGGCATACTTTTCATTTCTACATTGTCTGCTCTCCACCCTCCCTGCCTTCGAAAGAGAGATTAAATTCCATTGACATTCATTTTCTGTTTACCAATTTTCAATCTATAGCCTTCCAAAGAAACTGTTGTTCGCTCTGTTTTGACGAAACGTCTTTATCACAATCTGGAAGAACATAATCTGCAAGTAAAGGACACTTGGTGTTGGTGCTCAACTGGTGCTCATTGGGTGTTGGAGATGTAGTAAAGCAAGAATATGTCCTTTATAGATGGCCTCTGACGGAGTAAAGCATGGGAAATTAGATAAAACTTTCCTTTAATTTTTTTAAGCTTTTGATGAAAAGGTTTTCAATTTCAAGTTTTTGAATTTAAAAAAATCTGAATGCCCGATTGTTCACAGCACTGCTAAGTACTATGAGGACTACTGAAATATTCAAGACACAGTTCTTGCCCGTGAACTTTGCACCTGGTCATGCCCCAAAATACCTATAATACAACAATTCAGTGAGGTGAGAGTCCTAATAGAAAAGGGAAAACCAGAGAAGTCAGAGAGTAACTCCTTCTAGAGTGGAGAAGCTTCATGAAAAAAATGGCATATAAGCTGCTGAGGATTCAATTTTTCAAATACTAATACTAGAAGCAAGCTTTTTGACCTATAAGGTTTAGCCTAAGAAAAGTAGCCCATGTCAGATATTGAGAGGTATCACTGATGAAGAGATACTTGCCCCAGTACAAAGAAAGGTTTCTCTGGTTTCTTTTGGCCAGCATACCTAGAGCACAGCAGGAGTGACACACCTAACCCATATTCCTTATGCCACATCTATCCCATCTTCTCCTATAACTCCTATAACTGGATCCATATCTCCTGAGCTTAAGAAGCGTAGGGTTCACACTAAAGGAGCAGACTAGGATGTCCCAAGAGAGGAATTATATGACTTAAGAAAGAGTAATTTGAATCCTTCAATTGTTTATTCAATGTTTATAGTTTCAAGTTAATTTCTCAGCATGATGTTAAAGTTTCTCATAGTTTGGTCTTGACCCGTATTTCCAAACTCATTTTCCTCTAACCTCAACCAGTTCTGTCAGATATCTTGTATCTAAGTTTGCAGTTATACAATACTTATTTCTTAATTTTGCACTGAATTAAAGGAATAGACAAGGTTATATTGTTATATCAAACAACCTCAAAATCTCAATGACTTGAAAAAAAATAGATACATTTCTCACTGATGTCACATGTGTGTTAAGGGCTGATGGAGTGTTGTGTTATTTGTAGTCATTCAGGGGCCCAGACTGACCGAACAGCCATTAGGTCCGATGTTGCTGGCTGTGCTTCAGAGGGGAAAAAAGAGCTCTGGACAGCGTTAAACAAGCTATTTAATAGCTTTGGTCCAGAAATGATACTTCCCTTTTGCTTCCCACTCATTGGCCCAAACTAGTCACATGGTTCCCAAATAAAAAGGATTACGAAGTGCAGTGTTACCATGTACCAGGAACGCATCAATGACTACCATATGCACTCTACATGTTTATAACTCTGCCTTTGTCCATGACTTTTCTTATGAAACACACCTTGAACATCTAAAAAGCTTGTGCTTCAAGACACACCCCATCCGAAGCCTTCCTCATCCACTGCCTCATCACACTACCATGTTTGCCTTGCCTTTGATTCCGTAAAGCTTTATACATACGCTTTATA